ATTAAGGATCTCATAAGTAATGAATGGAAGACTCCAGAAAAGAGACTTTTACTGCAAAACCGTCTGCCTAAGTTTTACCCCATTCGTGAGGAGGACTCCAGGCTTTGGACTTCCAACCCAAAGGTTGATGCCTCAGTTATCAAGGTAGCCGAACGCTCTATCCTCCCGATAGACTGCAATGCTTCCCTGAGAGATCCTATGGAGAAACGAATAGATGCTGACATTTCTAAATGTTTTTTGGCAGCTGGTATGGGATGTCACCCAGCGGTTTCTATTTCAGCTATGTCCAGAGCTATGAGAGTATGGATCCTGGACATAGAAGAAGATTTGGACAAGGGTGTCAAAAGGCAACATATTGCTGATTCCCTAAGGGAGGTCAGACTGGCCAGTGAATGGCTCTTAGAAGCCTCTACGGATATAATTAAGGTTATGTCGAAGGTAATGGCTTTCTCAGTTGCAACCAGACGTGCCTTATGGCTCAGATCATGGGGGGCTGATATGGCCTCAAAGCATAACCTATGTTCCCTTCCTTTTTTGGGAGAATTATTGTTTGGGAAACCCCTTGAAGATGCCATTAAAAGAGCTCTGGATGTTAAGCAGGTTCTGCTTCCGCAGGATAGAGGTCCAAGAAGACCTCCACTAGAACGTCGTTCTTATAGAGAACACCCTTCTTATAGAGATAGTAAGGCTTATAGGCCAGGCCGTGAATACTACAGACCTAACTCCTGAAGAAGTGGTCAAACCAGCAAGTCCACCAGAGGTAAGACCAATACCTCTTCCTTTCATCCTTCCAAGCAGTTCTGAAGGTTACTACGCCCAAACACCTTTGGTAGGAGGAAGACTTTTACATTTCCAAAGGGTTTGGGCAGAGATCCCAGACAATTGGGTGAGATCTATAATTACATAGGGCTACTCTCTAGAATTTATGGACATTCCCCGAGCAAGATTCATAAGGACCAGTGTTCCCTTGGATTCGATAAAAAGAGACGCTTTGATCCAGTACACTGAAGATCTCCTACAACAACGGGTGATTGTTCCTGTTCTTGAAAGTCAAAGGTTTCAGGGTTTCTATTCCCCTCTATTTCTGGTCAAGAAACCTGGAGGAAAGTGGAGACCCATTCTGGATTTACATCAACTCAATATCCACTTGAGAAGAAAAAAATTCAGGATGGAATCTCTTCGCTCTATCATACCGGCAGTTCACCAAGGAGATTGGCTAATCTCAGTAGATCTGAAAGACGCCTACTTCCATGTCCTGATAGCCCTTCATCACCAGAGGTTCCTCAGATTCTGTGTAAACAATCAACATTTCCAGTTCCAGGATTTACCGTTTGGAATCAGTACAGCACCAAGGACCTTCTCAAAGATACTGGTGACGGTTATTGCATTGCTCAGAAGGAAGGGAATAACAATATTCCATTACCTAGATGATATCCTGGTAGTTGCTCAAACATACAGGGATTTACTGAATCATCGACTGATGGTACTCCAGACACTAGAACACTTTGGCTGGTTAATCAACTACCAGAAGAGTCAACTTCGGCCTGCCAGACGGCTGGTGTACCTGGGAGCAAAATTCTACACAGTGTCAGCAGTAGTGTCTCTGGCCCACGACAGAAAACTAAACATATGGTCACGCATTCAAGAATTTCAAATCGAAAAAACGACTACAGCAAGAAAGAGTATGAAGATCTTAGGTTCCCTTTCCTCCACAATTGGCCTAGTGAGATGGGCTCAGTGGAACCTCCGCCCTTTACAAGAATACTTCCTGCAGACGTTCGACTCGACCTCCCAGAAATGGGAAATGAAGATGTCCATTCTGGATCATATAAAAAGATCCCTCAACTGGTGGCTTTCCTGGGAAAACCTATCCAAAGGTTTCCCTCTGAAGGAGGTGGACTGGATGATAATCACCACGGATGCCAGTCAAGATGGTTGGGGTGCACATCTAAAGGACCACTTTGTCCAGGAACTATGGCCCCTACACACATCTTCCTTCCAATATAAGGGAACTATGAGCAGCCTTTCTAGCTCTTCTACATTTCAAATATCTCATTCAGCATCAATGGGTGAAGCTGAGAATAGACAACAGGGCAGCAGTAGCATACATCAACCATCAGGGTGGTACCAGGAGTTATGCACTGATGAAGGAAATCAAGCCAATCATGATTTGGGCACAGAGGAATCTAGCCGGTCTCTCGGCCTTATAACTTCCTGGGAAGGAGAATATGATTGCGGATTTCCTGAGCAGACATCAAGTGAAAGAGACGGGGTGGAAGCTATCCAGCTTGATCTTCCAACAACTGGTAAGGATGTGGGGGCTCCCACAGGTGGATTTAATGGCCACTGCTCAGAATACTCATCTTCCATGCTTCATGTCAAGGAGATTTCACCCACTGGCATATGCTCAAGACGCCCTTTCATCAAGATGGCCATTTCAGCTGGCATATGTGTTCCCTCCGATCAAGCTCATTCCCGCCCTTCTGAAGAAAATCTCCAAGGAACGATGCAGGATAATAGCCATCATCCCGTTCTGGCCACGTCGTCCATGGTTTCCCCTCCTGAAAAGTCTGTTGATGGACGATCCATGGGAACTTCCAGTCTTCCGGGATCTTCTGTCTCAGGGACCTCTAGTACAGACAGAACCACACAACCTGCGTCTTCATGCATGGCTCTTGAAAGGCAATCCTTAAGCGAGCAGAGGTTTCCTGATGAAGTTGTTTCCACCTTGCTACGTTCCAGGAAGACTTCTACCTCTACTACATACTATAAGATATGGGGGGCCTTCGCGGATTGGCTTCATATAGATGTGATGAATTTAAAGTCACCTTCTATTTCCCAGGTTTTGGGATTCTTACAGGCTGGATTGGATAGAGGTCTGAGTCTGAACACACTCAAGGTTCATTGTTCTGCTATCTCTGCCATGTCAGGTATCAGATGGGCTGAAGACCCCATGGTAATCCGCTTTATGAAAGCAGTTCTTAGAATTAGACCACCGATCCGGGTCTACAAGTGTCCCTGGGATCTACCTTTGGTCTTACAGGCCTTGATGGATCAGCCTTTCGAACCATTGGACGATATCCCTATGTTATCCCTGATGCAAAAGACTCTACTTCTATTAGCCTTAGTTTCAGCTAGAAGGATGGAGGACATTAGAGGTCTTTCGGTAGAAGAACCTTATACCACTTTCTACCATGACAAGGTAATTCTCCGTCCCAGACCAGAAATTCTACTTAAGGTGGTCTCTCCTCTTTCAATCAAGAAATTATTCTTCCAGTCTACTTTCAAAATCCGTCAAACGAGATGGAAGAAAAGTTTCACATGCTGGACCTTAAGAGGTGCCTTTTGATATACATACAACGGACTAAGCCTGGGAGGAAGTCTCCCCAACTTTTTGTTGTCCCTTGGGGCTCCCGTAATGGTGAAGCAGCCTCTGTTTCTACCCTCCGTTCCTGGACGGTTTCCTCTATTTCAAGAGCTTATAAGGTCCAAGGAGTTTCAGTTCCAAAAGGTATAAGGGCAAACTCTACCAGATCGATTGCCACTTCATGGGCTGCAGAGTCTGGAGTATCACCAGAGAGCATTTGTGAAGCAGCTAATTGGTCTTCTATAAGGACGTTTATTAGTCATTACAAACTTGATATTTCTTCGGATCCTCACCTGCAATTTGGTCTTTCGGTTCTAAATTCTTGTTCTTCTCGAAGCAAATAAATATTTCTGGGCATCTATTCCCTCCCTGTGGTATTTACTGCTTGGGTATTCCGCATATGTTAAATGCTGCCATGATTAGCCAGGAAAGAGGAAAATGTATTCATACTTACAGTAATTTTCTTTTCCTGGCTATTATTCATGGCAGCATTTGGGTTTCCCACCCATTTATTATCTCGGATCAGCTTGCTACTAGACGGAGGAACCTAGCATTCTGGGATCTCTTATACCTCAGGGATAATTGAAGTCTTTAATTGGTATTCCTGTCCTATTGGCTGGAGGGAGGAGCTACCCATATGTTAAATGGTGCCATGAATAATAGCCAGGAAAAGAAAACTACGGTAAGTATGAATAAATTTTCCTCTATAGTGTACCTTTAATGATTAGGCAGTCTGCACCACTAATGATGTTGCTACAGCATCCATACCCTTCAGTTTGCCAGAATAAAAGTTCTAGGAAACCCTAGTTTGAAGTAGAAAAGTCACTTTTCTATTCACTTACCTCTGCTACCCATACTCTAGGCAACTTCATCGCCCCACAATGCCTCAGGCATCAACAGAGAAATACCATATGAGCTTAGACGTTCCTTCCATAGTGATGCACATTTGTATAGGGCAACCACTTTACCCTTGAACAATCCCTCACACCTGTCCCCCCAAAAATTATTTTCACATATGCAATTTCTGAAAAATGTGACTTTTTCAACCACAGAATGTGCGGGCAACTATCACTTTAAACCCATGTTATTTATATATAACTCCAGTGGTGGTATACTAAAACACATTTATTTTGTACTATAGGGTTTTATCTTAAAGAGCAGCCATTAGGAAGCAGGGGGAAATTATTTTTATTTTTATTTTTTTTGCATAATTTGCACAGATCTGTACAAAGAAGTTAAAAAAAAATATATATATATAATACATATACACTATAGCACATGTTAAATTGATTATATATTCACTATATGACTTAAACGATAGATTTGCTTTAAATAAGATGGTTTGCCCAAAAAGAATTTAACTGACTGCAAATGTTTTACAAAATAAATAATCATTTATTGTAAAATAAGCTAGAATGTGTAGTTTGCTATATATGTAATATAATTTGCCCTAGTTTGGCTGTGATAAATACCCATTTGGAAAATGACAAGCTACATGTACCAGTGTGTATACAATAAAAACATACTAAATTTAGTGAGAGATTAGGGTGAGATTCCTTGTGCTCTCCCATAGTGAGATATATATAGCATGCTTCAGACAGCAGGGCCAGAATGCATACACCAAATTTAGCACGTTAAGCAGCACAAGCTATTAGTCATGTCACAGGTGTGGAGAAAAGAAAAAGGCAGAACTGCTCACAAGCAAATTGCAGCACAGCTACAGGCAGATAAATGAATCAGGATCATATATAACAGTCTTGAAGTATGCCAGTCATGTGAATCGGACAATGACAATCCTCTCTTGCAACTGTCATTAGTCTGATACTATCCTTACCTTTTGTGTCACTTTACCCCACTTCCTCTAGCATGAAAGGGCCCTAAACCCCTCTGTGTATCTAACTTGTCTTTTTACAACTACAGGTTTGTTCGCCCACCCACTGTAAAGCACTGCGGAATTTGTTGGCGCTATATAAATAATCAGTCTGTCTTTTAGTAAACTAATCACCTGTGAAAAGTATAGAATACATCTTTCAATGTTTAACGGACCACTATAGTGCCAGGAGGGTGCCCCCACCCTCATGGTCCCACTCCCGTGGTGCTTAAGGGGGAGGAAGGGGTTAATCGCTTACCTCTTTTGCAGCGCTGGGACTCTCCTCCCTCTTCTTCCATCAGCGGCTGCGCGCGCATGCGCATTCAGCCAGTCCATAGGAAAGCATTCTCAATGCTTTCTTATGGACGCAGGCATCTTCTCACTGTGAAAAATCAAGAGAGAAAATCACAGTGAGAAGCGTGGAATCTCCTCTAGCGGCTGTCAATGAGACAGCCACTAGAGGCTGAATTAACCCATAGGTAAACATAGCAGTTATTCTGAAACTGCTATGTTTACAGCAGAAAGGGTTAACCCTAGATTGACCAGGCACCTAGACCACTTCATTAAGCTGAAGTGGTCTGAGTGCCTATATTGGTCCTTTAATACTGAAGATGAGATATTAAAATTACTGCATTTTGTTCACAGATGTATGCACACAACCAAATATTGCATCTGAATCCCAGAATTCCATGTGTACAGCAAAGCATTCTGGGAATGACCAAGGAGAAATTTAGGATCTGAGTGCAGTTCACTAAAACTAATGCAAAACGTAGAAAAAAATATATACGTGACACACACACACGTTAAACTGTATCTTTCTCTTACCCAACAACAGTCTGACAAAGTTTAGATGTGCTTGTTTATGTATGTTTCAGTACTGTGATCATTGTGAAGTGATATATTGGAAAGCAAGATTACAACAAAATAAATAAACAAAAAGTTTGGATAGGAATTTTTTTTATGTTATTCCAATAAAAAATACATTCATACAGAAATATAACAATTTTGCAAAAAACAAATTTCAAATAAAATCTTGTAAAACAAAACTTTTACAAAAATCTTACAAAGATTCTTCAGATAACAGGGCGTTTCTGAACAAAACAAAAATAAAAAAAATTTCACTAATAGAAATTTTCTCTTCTTTCAAATTTCAAGCAATTTTAATATATATATTTTTCTTCCTTTCTTTCCATTTGCTTGACTGAGGCTCAGTTCTCACCTGAACAGAGTGTATGCTATCATTAAGAAAATTACAGGCACTGGGAAACAAAGTTCACACAGCCGCACCTCAATTAAATAATGCTGATGGCATTTCACAAGCGAGACAAGCCAGTGCACGTTTATGCGTTTGTTTATCTAGTTTCTGACTATTATGGCTAAACCCAGAGCAGTCCAAAACATAACATAGGAAGATCTGAAAACCCTAGCATAGTGCTCTGCTAAACAAAAGTAAAAGTTTTTTCTCTTAAATCTACACAAGTATATGAAATCAGAAAGGAAAAAAAAAAAAAAAGTGTGGCACCTGTATAACTGGTTTTGTCTTAAAACCAGAAAATGAGGATTTACTTACATAGTAAGTTAAAAAGAAACCACAAAACAATAAAGTTCATCCCTAAGTCACTTGGTTTTAAGACAATATTACTACATAGCTATTCCCCTTCCCCCCCCCCCAAAAGCGTAAATATATGCAGCAGAGAGCTTTTCTTGCAAAATAACCAGAGGATGAAGCAAGATACATTGTTAACAAAGTTTATTACAGCAATTACAATTTCAACATGAGTGACAGATTTAGTTATAGACTTTAGTTATACTCTTCAACTTTGTGCTGACATTTACATAAAGTAATTCAGTCTGCAATAGAGTATCAACAACTATGAGACTGTGCACCACAGACTTGAAGAGTTATGAAGCTCAATGCACCCCAAATCTCTAAAGAGACCCTAATTTAATGTTTGTGGTGTCTCCCAGTCTGAATTACCATCAGTGGGGGTTACATGTGAATTGCAATTCTGGGGCATTTTTTCTAAAGCAGAATAATCTGCAGGAACATTGCATTGGTTTCTATGGCAATTTCTCCAGTTTTAGAATATGGCCCCACAGTTGTTCTCTATGAAGCTCCCTTCAAATTATTTAACAGGAAAAGCTCTAAGTTACATACATGGTTACCACGGGTTATAAAGGGACATTTCCCCCATGTGACTGAACAAGTAACAAATTTGGCAAAGGGACAAAAAAAAGTACTCTAAAATTAAAAAAATAAAAGTATGTGTATGTATTCTAAGGACCGTTCCCCAAGATGTTCTGATACTGAATTGACAAAGAATCTTGGAAAAGTAATTTACACTGCTCGGGCCACAGGCATTTTCCTCCAGGTAGTAATTAAGCTATTGGTACATTCATTAAAATTATCTCTAACTCTACAGAAGATACCAGCCCAGGTATTCTGCTACTTTGTGGCAAGTCACCTAGTATGAAACGCAATGCTTTAATTCTATTTTTAAATCAATATCTACAGTGAGAAGAAAAAAAAATTCTAGATAAAAATGTAAATGCTGCTCATAATAGCAGGTTTTTTTTTTTTTTAGTTTTTCTACATTTACAAGAAAACCTCTTTAACATTAAATAAAATATTACAAAAATAGATTTCAACTTCTTTTTACAGCTTTTAACACTCAGTGACCTAAGACTACAAAGGTTTACACCCCAAACAAATTTCTAAAGTCGTCCTAAAAAGCATAGACGTCGGCTTTCAGCCATTGAGTGCACATACTTAAACTATATAGTCTTTCGTGGAAAAGGAGGGACAGGGATATATAAAGTGTGTATGTGTGCACACAAAGATTTTTATTTTTATTATTATTTTTTTATTTTAGCGGTGTGGGGTTAAATTGGACAAACAGAATACAATGTTTAGGCCAATGAATCCTAATTTAACTTTTCTGCTTCCAAGTCAATTATTTTGGTCTAAATATTATACTCGTGTTGACTCAAAACTCGCGGTTTGTCGATATTAGTGTGGCACTAGCGAGCTTATCCAAGTAGAAAAAAAACAGGTCATCTGAATTTTGCTTTGGTGGATGTTTTAAATCTAAAAAGTTTAGAAAGCAATGAAGTACTCTTCAATTCAAGACATTTACTCTGTACCTCCAATGTGTGAGCATTTACATATTTAAGTGCATGTACAGATACAGGATACATTTGTGCAAGTTCAGTTTAAAGAAAATATAAAGCAAGAGGGCAGAAAGATAAGTTGTGGGAAAAAAAACAAAAACAGGGCATTACTACATCAACAGTCAATATATAGCAAATTAAACTAAATGCTTTGTCAGGCTACAGCCAATTCTGTATGCTACTACATTTTACAAAGGTTAACTGTATATGTACATATGCTTTTTAGCTTCGGAAAAGGAAAATGTACACTCCTGGGTGACAACAGAGCCTTAAGTAAGCTTACAAAGCGTAAACCCCTGTATCAGACCTTGTAATATGTAAAGATCACTTCCATAAGGCACCATTTTAAGGTCAACAGTGCATTAACAGCTAGAAAACCAGAAATTAGTCCTCAAGGCATAAATAATAGAAAATTAGCTGCATGAGAAAAAAAAAAAAAAAAAAATTAAAATTTAAGCTCTAGTGGTTTTCTCCACTTATATTTTAGGTTCCATACATAGTAACACAACACCAGACCAATTGTATTTAGCTGCTCTCATCTGGAATTATAACTTGCAGTCCTGATTTAAAGTATGAATGAAAAAAAAAAGTCATTTTTTTTCCCCCTGAACCATGCAATATCTTTCTATTATAATGAAAAGTTATAGTTTTGTTATATTTGTAAATACACAGCTTATACAATGGGTTACAAATGATCATTGTAGCATGTAAAAAACAAAAAAACAAAACAAAAAACAGGCTACTTGACACATTGCACGTTAATAGCTGCACCAGACAACAAAAGCTCCTCTCGTACAGGAAATGGATCATCTCCATTGGGGATTCCTCATCCTCCTTCTGTAGAACCCAGATGAAAACGATGGATGGTAGAGTCCCAAATACAGTATGCCATGGCATACAAAGAAAAATAAAAAAATCATTCAAACCATTTTTCCACTTTTATTTTCCAAACCCTCACATATGAGCTCAACCTTAAGAAAATAAAAATCCTCCACATACAGACATTGGCTCCTCGTCACCATTCAGTCACCCAATCATTAACATTCTCAGTGCACATGCTCACGGCGAAGGCTTAGACAAGCCGTTCAGAAGATAAAGCACCACAAGTGCCGGGGTCGAGGAGACTCCAGGTGTAGCACTAGGTGGTTGCTATGCCGCATCTGACACGATTGATTAGCCCTACGAAGACGCTCTAAGAAATGAGGTCTAGAAGGCATCTGGTTAGGGTGCAAATTGGCATGCTTTGGCTGGAACACGCATCCCTCGCACAAGGCATTTCAACCTTGAAGTTTCTTATTCACGACTTCCCCCTTGACTCATTCAGAGGTGACGCTTCATGTGAAGGGCCAGGTGATCAGACCTAGAAAAACACCTTAGAGGAGAAAAAACAAAAAAAAAACAAAAAAAAAACACTTAGTACTAATTTAAAAAAAATTTAACCATTTTTTTATTTAAACAAACTACAAAAAGTACAATAAAAACTTCAAGAACAGCTTTCAATTCACCATAGGCATTGTACGTTAACTGAAATAAATATATGTACAGTGGGTGAGTAAACACAAGGCTACAGTTGAGGCTAGTTGCAGGCAAGCCCAGGCTTAGAGTGCTGCTGGCATTTAACTCTTTATAAGCACACAAAACAAACATATAAAGAAACAAGCTAACCTTCCCTCTGGCATTCACAGACCAACAGAACTCTTAATATTTTCTAAGTTTTCCAGTTTTAGAACTGAATTCCAAAAGTGCTCAATATAGTACCCCACTATGTGTTCAAAATAATATTTTGCATTTTAAAGGATAGAAATTAAGTATAGAATAAAAAAGTAAATAATTAATAAAAAATAAATAAAAAATACATTTGGCCTAAACCATCGGTTTCTTATAGAGCAAACTACGGAACTGATAGTTTGGGCCAAATACTGCCACGTTCTTCAGTAAGCATGAATGAAGAAAAAAAAAAAAAGGGCAAAACAATCTGAACTGATGGAAAATTGTAGGACAGTTCAGCTATATTGAATTTACATGTATTCCTCTCATTTCACAGTTTAGTGAATAACTGTGTACAGTAATTATTATCCTGCACAGCATTGTTTAGCCATTCTTGAAATCCCATGCCATATAGGACCACTATCATTTCTGACTGAAGCCTATTGCATGCATCCGCTCACATTAGGTTTAGTAATGTCATATTGTTGTGATATCAATGCTTCCTCCTAATTTCGGAATAGCGCTGTTAAGCACCAGTACATTTCTGGGAAGATGCAGTATCGGATTACACCACAGAAGAAAGCGGATTAAATGACTCATTATGTTCTATAGAACGTGCATTACACTGAATGCCAAAAGGTCTTATTGCACATTTTAGGATATCCCTGTTTTACAGATGTTTTTATAGCAACACCTGTGAAACAAGAGAGACCTTCTCAAACTAAGCATCTACTCATCCTTTAGGAATGAAGCCTGCCACCTCCTGATCTATGGATAGAATGAGTCACTAACTAAAGTAAACAAAATCATGCGAGACTCCATCCCCGGAATAGAGCGACCATACAATTACATCCAGTTATTTAAAACGAGAATATAAGAAAATAAATACTGTTTAGGTGGCATTAGTGAAATTATAGATTTTAAGAGCCCAAACACACACACTTTCAATTAACTGGACTTTTCAATAGGCAATTACACCCTATGTATTTTCCTATCTAAGCAACAGGTGCAAAGAATAAAACCTGAAATACCAGACAATAAGGGAAATAGTATCTAAAAAGGAATAAATTGACATACCTGTCACAATGCGGGCACTTAAATGGTTTGGCACCAGTGTGTTTTCGGAAGTGTCTGGTGAGTTCATCACTTCTTGCAAAGCGCCACTCACAGCCCTCCCAGGAACATCTGTAAGGCTTTTCTCCTGCAAGGGACAAATAGGGTAAGTAAGGCTCCAAAATAAATAGATTTTATGTTTCAAGGCACAGTGGAAAAATTCTTAAAGGAGGGATTTTGTTTATGGAAAAGAATCATCCAGTTGTTTATGGAAGACAAATTCTCTCAGCTACATAACGGCTGACATTTCGTAGGTAGATGGCTATGAAAGGTCAAAAAAAAGGCCATGTCTGAAGTCATAGACTTTGACAGAAAATCTACACAATGCAGAATGGAAGTGGGGTAGCAAGGTTTCATAACAGTAGACAGCTGATCAATACATTCCTATCCACAATAGCTCCAAGATACTAGGGGTTTGTGCTGTAAATAACGAATTCACCATCACCCTGTAAAAAAAAATAGGGAAAAACAGTGGGACTCAATCTTCCCCATGGCTGTCATTTTGCCAATATAAGCGGCTATTCAGTTGTGAAGTTCAATATATTCTCCCTTTTAGACCACAATCAGATGTGATTACGTAACTAGGTTCTCTTCAGTGGTCCATTACATATCTCTTCTTAATGAGAAGTTGTCCAACACAAATTCAATTTTAGATGAATGAACCTTGAGTGCCAAAACCAAAATTCTACTTCTCAATAAAATAACAGATAAATAGATATAATGTATTTAGTACAATGTAGATAGCTTCCCTAGAGGCCGTTCCCACTGTGCCACTGTAGTATCAGATGGATAAAAATAGAAATAGGGATACAGCTTAGTGGTAGAACTTAAACAAACAGTACATAGTGATGTACAGTATATATGAGTAACACACAGCGATGTTAGATTGCGCTCACAAGATAGAAAACAGGTAAACGCCATGAAATCCACCCAGGGATTACACTGGTCCGCTTTCCACCATAGGGGATAGTAAATAGTCAGCAGGCACAGGTATTTCAAGATACAAAGTCAGGATTCAAATGCAAAAATGTATATTTAGGCACAAATTGCATATAAAAAAAATATATATATATATATATTTTAAAACATCTAACGCGTTTCGTCAAATGCGTGTATCCTGACATTGTATCCTGAAGTACCTGTGCCTGCGGACTATTTACTATCCCCTGTGGTGGAAAGCAGACCAGTGTAATCCCTGTGTGGATTTTATTGCATTTACCCGATTTCTAACAGCGCTTTGTTATTCATATATACTGTACATCAATATGTGCTGTTTGTTTTTTTATGTTCTTCCTCCTAGCTGTATGCCTATTTCTATCCATTTATTGTGTGGAGACTGACAATGCTATTTTCTAAAGTGGAAATTCAAAGTGAATTTAAATTTTAAAAGGTTAAAATAGACTAACAAGAAGACACACCTCTCAGTCAGCTATGCTTTCAGCTTGGCTACTATGGCCTTAAATTCATAATTTACTTTGAATTCATATTTTAGTAAATAACACTAAATAATTTCTCTACCAGTATCTAATGCACATGATACTTGCAACCAAGAAACATTAAATAAGCAGAAGGGTGCTTGTCTACAGCCTTAAAAGCATCTTTCTGAACTGTGTGCTACAGCTTCAAAAATATTTTTACATAATGATAAATATTGTGTGTTATGAAACCGGGCACTTTTAAACTAGAACACACAGTGTATTTAAAAAAAAAAATAAATAAAAAATCCTGGCAAGAAAAACATACTTCATGGGAAACCATCAAACCAAACTTTGCAGTAAACTTGAATAAAAATTGATATGAACTGAAAAAAATACTAGCTTCCCATTGGACTCTCTAAAAGGAGTATGTTTTCATTCACTCCATTTATGAACATACTCTAGTTAAGATCCCAAATTCACTACAGAAAAGAATGAGGAAGTAGGCTCTCCACAGGATGAGTTACATCACCATCTACGAGCTTTGGATTTCCATCCAGTGGTTGCATTATGGCATGACAACAAGGGATTCCCTACTGTCAAGTTCTCAATGAAGACCAAGAACTGACCTGTGTGAGTGCGTTGGTGTGCTTTCAGGTGTGAACTCTTGGTGTAAACCTTCTTGCAGCCATTGAAAGTACACTTGTGGATACGTTTCCGTCCATCTGGTGAGGTTTCTCCACTAATTGGGCTACCTTGTTCAGTCTTTATAATGGAACCAGATTTAATTTTCCCTGGTGAATGCAATTCGCCAGTTATACCATTCCACAAGTGGGAAGGAGACTCCTTGCTCTGTTCTGGCGATGACGGGGGAGTTGAAGTGACAGATGAACTAAAGGTTCCAGAAGTGGCCAAAACATCACTTATTGGATCCGAGGTAAATTTTGAGGTTGGTGAAAGTTCTTCTGAACCATCAGAAGACTCACTTCCAACATCAGAGTTTAAGCTATTGGTCTCTAAAATCTGGCTGTCACTTATGTCCTCAGTCTTAATGCATGTAATCTTGTGGTCAGGCTCCTCTTTCTTCTCACATGCTAGGATAAATTTGGTCCAGAGTTCCTCCTCTCTGTCAAATTTAAATTCAGTCGCAGACACATAACAAGGCTCATTTTGCAAATATCGCTCCAATTCAAGGCATGTCTAGAAAAGAGGCAAATAAACACAATGAATGAAAATCTTGTTTTCTAAGAATACAAAATAAATAAATACCATCAATTTTATTAGAAAATCAGGATTTCTTTTTTATTATTTATTTTTTTAAAGACTTGTGAATATGCAACCAAGCCAACATGCATGTTGTTTGAAATTGATAAAAATGAATGACTTGTTATGATTGAGACAAAAATTATGACTAAGCCTCAGTTGTAAAGAAGAGAGATTCTGCACAGGATACATGTAGAGTAACTCATTTCCGTTGAAAAACCAATTCAAAGAAGTGAACGGGTAAAATATCAGTTTGCAAGGAGAACAAAACACAAAATAAACACTACATTGCAGAAGTGGGTATTTTCGGAATTTTAAATTAGATAAATATAAATGGTAGCAAATCCTCTTTTAGATGGTTCTGGAAACCATACAATGGACAAGAATATTATCTCCTCGCCAACAGTACAACTGGATGAGTCATTCACATTCTTTTCATTCTACGCCAACAGAGACTTCCTTTTCAAATACTGACCACAAGCCATGAGAATAAGCCATTAGACTATGCACTGGAATACATTTTTCAAAAGCAGATATTTTTGTACAACAATTTATCGTACACATGTACCCAAAGTGAAAGACTACTATGAGAACACCAATTACAAAAATGAAAAAAATATTTATTTATTTTTGTCTATGGCCTGAAGGCATTCAGAGCTCTTCTGTGTCAGACTGGTTTTGCAGAGACATAGACTCTGAAAGATGTCCTATGGCTTGCAGACATGGGCAATCAAAATACCACACATACTTCACCAGCTGCTTGCCTGGGGAGGTAGTGAACAGTTAACATTTTAATGCACAGTCTTGCATTTTACCTTGTGGACTTTTGCCTTGCACATAAGTCAAATTAGGGGCCAAAGTGGGAGGAAACAAACAAAAAAAAAATATATATAAATTGATTTTTCTTCAGCTATGATTAGAACACGGCATTGCTTTTCAAATAAAATATTTAAAAGGATAAAATGCATTTTATTGATTCCGGAGAAGAGTAGTTGGGAAGAGAGGAGGATAGCAAGGCTGCTCAAGTTTAATAATTTAAACACTATTAGAATCCCCCATTCCCATGATTGTGTCGATGAACTGAGCTCTGTGATATTTGAAATGTCTCTAAAGGATTCTGGGAACAGAACCTGGCTCCATTCCAAGATTTAAAATGCCTGAAGGAAGCTACTTAGATCAATTTCAATCATACACTGAAGATCTGCATCTTTGAAGGATGGAGTGGAGGTGCATACAATTAATTAGGAATGCTATGATTGTAACACTTTAGTGGCAAGACTCCCCCTTCTCAGACAGACATCTGATCTCTTAGTTTGCATTGTTAAAAAAAGTAAACATCATTAAATGGAGACAAGGACAAATGCAATCACCACTGTTGGGGATAATAAAACAAAACAAACAAACGCAGCACAAAAACACAATGCCATTTCCAGTCTGTCCCTTTTGACAAGATCAACTTGAAAAAAAAAAAAAAAAGTTCTTTTATTTCCCTGGGCAACAGAAACAATAGACTCCCAATACAATGTTTTGCCTGGTGAATCAGCCATTGTTCTACTGATTAGAAGCTGTCACACACATCCTCTGACAAACATTTTTTTTTTTTTTTTTTTTTAAACCAATAGATACATGTGAAGCAGAATCTTAAAAATAATAAAAAATAAAAATATTGCTTCTACAAACAGAAAATGACAGGAATAAAACTCTTGGCATTGCTGTGTCTTACATGACAAGACCCAGCTGTGTAATTTGGACCTATTGCAGGCTCAAAGTTTTGCCAAATGGCTGTAGTTACTAGTGAAACCGAAGCTGTGCTTGATTGAAGCTACATTTAGCTGTCATTGCGAAAGCACTGGGGGTGAAACCCACATGTGTATAGCTATCTCTACATCCCAATGATTTTGGCATTACAAATCAAGGCCACCTTGCTCCAAAGCAGACGCAATACCTTCGTGTCTGACACCCTCACTAGATTGCAAGCTCTTGTAAACAAGACCATCAATCTCTGCAGTGCAAAATGCATATGCAATCACCATTGTAATAAATAAAATACATGCAGAAGCATGACAGTCTCATACTAGTCAATTTACAGAGATCTGCAACCGATCTTAACATTAAAAAATTGATCTGAATAAATGAGATTTAGTTGACAAGGAATATATAGAGATTTACAATGCAGATCTACAGGTTTTGTTTTTACGTTCAGCAATATAATTACAGACAAGATAGAATTGCTGTAGCAGGCAGGCAAAAAAAAAATAGATACATAGTTTGTCTCCAGAATTCTAACATATCAATAAACACAAAGTGACATTAGAAAATATTTATTTACAATATTAATAAAATCTGAAAAATAAATATAATAAAACAGCAAGAATAAATAAAAGCTAGCAGTTGCTATGCATGCAAACATTGGCTTTTATTTGCATCTCCTCCTCCCCAGCAGGCAATCCATGAAATCAACTCCATTTACCTGTTGCCAATATTCTTCCAGGGAGGGCAATGCTGAGAAATAGCCAGTGTCGTGCACAATCTGTAGCTCCTGGAAGATGCTGCACATTGGTAAAACATCCATGATCTATTAAGGATATTAAATATTTATAGATATATATTTATAGAGAGGGTAGAGATGGAGAAAGGGAGAGAGTCAGGGTTTTTTTTTTTTTGGATGCTAGAAAAATAGAAAGGCTACCATAGATCTAGGCATAGGCAATAATAAGGATAAAAAATATAATAATCCCAAAAGGTGTTGGATATGCATGAAAATATGCAAAAAAAAATGTTTTTAAAAAATAATAATAGTAATTCCCAGTAAAATGGAATAGGCAAGCCAGTTTTCATGCAAGTATCATTGCATAGCAAAAAATAATAATAATAAAAATAATAATAAAAATAATAGAGAAGGCTGAGTCCTTCCTCCTCCTCCTCCTGGAGCAGAGGACTTGCTGGGTGCTGACAATATTTGCAAACACTGAAGTGGCTGCAAATGTAAACCTCTGCAAAACTTCCCTATTCAAACCTCAGGGCCAGCCCACTCCTCCCTCCTGCTCCCTCCTCCTCCCTCCCATCACCACCACGTGACCTCATTACGCCGGCTCAGTAAGGCAGCCAATCGGGCGCGCGCTGCCGCCAACCTCCTTTTTTTTTTTTTCCCCTATGATGTCAGCTGCGTCCAATCCGGGCGCTCGGCGCACAGGGCAGGCGGCTGGCGTGACGAAAGCTCTCCGTAAGCTCGGCGCCGATTGGTCCGATTCGAAAATCCAACCACCCTCTATCCCCTCCCTCCCTTCTCCCCTCTACGGGTGGGCGGGGACAGGCTATTTTTAGCCGGGTATATAAGAGAAGCTCGCCGCCTCACAAGGCGAGTTTTCAGTGCGGTCAATGGCCGCTGCGAGTGCCTGTGAGGCTCTGCGCGCTCACTGTTTGGTCGGAAACCGAATAGTACAATATATATTAAAATAAATAAATTAATAATCCTATATAGTTCTGTGTCAATAATAATAATAATTATTATTATTAAAAGTGAGGTGAATGGGATAATGGAGTCACGGAGCGGCCGTGTGAAGGTTGCGCCGAGCAGCGCAGGGTTTCCTCGCGCGGAGGGATATGAACATTCTCCGTCCCTCTCACAGACCCCCAACGGCTGCCAGGAGCGGGGAGATCTCCCCCTCCCCGAAATAAAATAGCCCCTCAGTTAGCATTTCTGTGTAGAACTACATCTCCCATGATGCTTTGCCAGCCGTTTGGCTGCAGTGGCATTATGGGAGTTGTAGTTCTATAATAATCTAAGAGCTTTGCCACTGTTTATTTTTATTCTATTTTTTTTTTTTTTTAATAAACACTTATCACACTTATAAGTGTGAGGCAGCAGCTCAAGCCTGATGTGATGTGTTTATATAAATTTTATATAAACACTGAATTGTGGTGAATTGAAAGCCGATAGGGTCGTTCATTTATTCACCAAAAATGGGAATTGTGTCAAATTCAAAGTAAATTTTAAAGATTTAAGGCTAAAACAGCGGAAGTGGCAAAAAAAAAAAAAAAAAAATCTCTCTCCAAGTGTTTCTAGTTCGGCTACTTTGGCCTTAAATCCTGACGTTTATTCTGAATTACTGTCAGTTCGCACTTTAGCGAATAACCCAGGCTTCGCCAAACTCCGGCCATCCAGATGTTGCTGAACTACAACTCCCACGATTCTATGAATGTATTAGATGGGCTGAGAATCATGGGAGATGTAGTTCAGCAACATCTGGAGGGGCCGGAGTTTGGGGGAAGCCTGGAATAACCGTTCCAGAGGAAAAGGAGCGAATTCACTAAAATCTGATTGGTAAATAAAAAAAAAAAAAACATAATTCAAATGAAATAATAAAGGCAAAAATAAGTAAGCTGCAATGGAGACATTTCTCCAGATCGCCCATTTATGACTGAATTTTGCCAGTCAGATTTCAGTTTGCTCGGTTTTCCAATTCTGTTTTCAATTCGCAATAATTTCGTGTTTCAGAAATAACCCTAAACAAAGTGCTGAAACATTGGAAACATTCTACCACTCGGCTATACGCAGCTTGGCTATTTTAACTTTAAATGTTGCCGTTTGGTTTTAATTGTGTCTCCAGAATCCACCAAGGCCATCTGTAATTACGACCAGACAGTCGTCATGCTCTGGGCATGGGTTTCCAGTGAAGTATTGGCCCATACAGACATGTTTTAAAGATAAGAGAAGATTTTCAGACTTACTGTAAGATTACAAGAGGTGGATTGGGGGAGGTAGACATTGCATGCTCTTTGGCACACTAAATAGTGCAATAGACACTAAGGCAATGACCTTCCACATTAATTCCTCAGCAAACCCTGTGATGGCCTGACCAGGGTTGCACATTTTTCCCATGCATTACATCTGGCTGCATGCCAAACGTATGCGTATGACATCTTTTTACCACTAGAAGGGTTAAACCAGTTTCCCTTTTTTTTTTCTTTTTGTACATTAACCTTTAGCATCTCATATAATCACACAGCAGAGGCTGTGATGGTCATACAATGATTGCCTTTTGGTCTTATTAGTATTATTATTTATTTTATCAATATAAACGTTTTGCCAGGAAAGATACGTCGAGATTTCTCACTAAAAGTATTTAAAACCCTTACAGAACACACAGACGCTGGGAAAATATGCATGGCAGCATTGCAATCTGCCTGACATTTTAAAGAATCAGATTACTTCTTCTTTTTTATTTTATTTTTTTCTTGCACACAAGGGGTTAAAGTTTTGACATTCTCCCTTTGATGGTTAGGACATAAAATGGAGTTTCTCTACTTGTTTACTCCACTTACTCCAGCAGAGGCAGGAGGAGTCACCTACTCTGCTCCCTCCTCCCCCAAACCTTCTCTCTGGAAATGTACTGAACTTTTATTGCTAGAACTGCTAGGATCTGACATATCATAGTTTGCACATGTCTTCCCCTCCTCCACATACTCTTTCTAATCTGAGGTTTAGAATGTGATGTAGCGGTTGCTATATATGTGATGTGTCCACTGACATCCTGCTTGCACATTAGTGTACACAGTGATGTGCATTTCTACTGTTTCCAAACATTTATCATTGTGTAAATTGTATTGGGTGGATTGCTCAGAAAATAACTGCAAAAAAAGAATAAGAAAAGATAAATGCTTGTTACAGATGTAAGCATATTTGTACAAGTGTGTTAAATAACAATACAACAACTATAATGTTTCACAGGAAATGTTCTCAGCATGGTACCCAGACTGAGTCTATTTTCTGAGTTTGTAAGAAGACACAATTTTAAAAGTGCAATTAAGTAGCATTTTTAGATTGCAAGCTCATGTGGACAGGGCCTTCTTCACATACAGTTCTTGTATACCAATCATGTTTTGTTAGAATTTAGTGTTTGGCTTGTTTTCCTATTGTACAGCGCAGCAGAATGTTGCCTCTATACAAATAATTGTAACATTTGGATAAAAGTCCAGTAGCCCAGTAGCTAGCTTGCTTACTAGTAGCTAGGAATGTATTTTGAACACAATAAATATAATACTTCATCTATATCTACGTTTTCCATTAGTTTGTGCCTTTTATTCAAGCAGCCAACAGCCAAGTGTTGAAAACACCCCCAGGGTTTCTTCTTTTTTTTTTTTTTAAATGCAATGGCTCATGTCTTCCCCTTTTCTGTATTTTTTTTTTTACTTTGGCCCAGACAAACTAGCTGTGAGCCTGATTAAAAAAAAAAAAATTGAACAATTCTGCTTTATGTATGGGGCGAGCAAAGATTAAAAAGTTGGACAGCACCGCTGGTGGCAAGTAACCTGGGGGAATCGAATGATCCCTTTGTTGGCTCTGTGAAAATAGTTATTGGTTCTGCACAGATTCACTGTGCCTACACTTCACTTTTTTTTTATTCCAGGACATATCCCCATAACACTCAATGGTATACAATATGTTGACAATATAGAGTTGCTCAGTTCCAATCTTCAATAGATATTTAGGTAACAGCATATATTAGGCCCACTAACCAAACTGGAAAAAATAGTAAGTTGCAGAATTTTATTTAAAATGCAGTTTTGTACTACATTCTTCAAATTGATCACTCAACTAAATGTTTAGTTAAGGAGCCCTACAGCCATTTTTGTATTCGCCATGAACCGTATACATTGCGCGGGTTACCAGAATTTTGACAGGTTCCAGAACTATCTGATAATGTGCAGTGACTTGGACTGTGATTGATATGGCTGAGCCAGACACATTTTTTTTTATTATAGTAATGCATCAAAAGCCTGGAGGCGAGATTAGGAGATCAGTATTGTAGAAGTCGAAGTCCGTATTTCCTATAACGCTGAGCTATACAGTTGTGGCCTATCTAAGTGCTCAGTATCAGATAGATATGAAACACAAACCCATCTGAAGATTCTATAATAGCCAAACATCCAAGCAATATGAATTCCAGTTATTTATCAAGTTGGTTTTTAACCACAATGTTTACTACCTATATTTTGCATCTGACTGAGTGCAATACATCATCTGAGAGTCTCGATAGCAGCAACAAAGGTTGTCTATCCATTCATGTGAGGTGTCGTGCATTGTTATTATAGTATTAATACCAGCTGAATGGAGTTCAATTGCTGTGACCACGGCGTCCCCTAAAAATCAATTTTTATCTATATTTATGTGGCACGGATCTTATGTAGTGGCCTCTTGTGGCACAGATCTCTTTTGACGCAGTCTATCTCACCTCCCAACATTTCAGATGGAAAAAAGGGACACTTTAATTTTAGAGGTATGACTGGAGGTGTGGCCATATGGCTAAAATTTAATTTAGAACAAGAACAATGTATCTTATTTACAAAGACTGATTTCTAAACACATTTATCATCGTTTAAAGACACATTACTGTAAATATTATTGGTGTGAAGCTCTGTAATACACGCAGATACACCAAAAATATGGAGATCCTAGAATAGAGGGACAGAGGGATTTGGGCCCAATATAGGGACTGTGCCTCCTAAACAGTGACACATGAGAGGTATGCTGTAATAAAGATTGAGTGTGGTAGGATATGCCATCTTTTCTCAATGGCATCTGCCTCCTCTTTCCCTACAGAGGCATATCACATTCCGGCAGACTGATGCTATGCAGGTCACAGGGGGTCCTCAAAATGTATCTTGGTAGTAGCAGTTTTACTCTGCCGCCTTGTCTTCCCGGTCTGTGCTCTATGTAGCCATGGGGAGATTGTGGCATTAGACATGGCAACTGATCCATCATGGGGGCTTGTCAGGATCTCCTGAACTTAAGGCCATGTTGCCTAGATAAACAGATACTCCTCTGTCCTAGCTTGCACTGGGGAAGGGTATGGAGTGAGAAGACCAGTGGAGGCTGTGTAGCTGTGACAGCACTAGGATAGAAGATGGATGAGGAGGATGGTGCCCCCTTAAACACCTTTCACATCAGGGTAAGACAGCTCTGTTGTTCTGTACTGTTTGGCCTGGACACTTTGTGTTACTTTGCTCAGTGTCGTTCGTTGGCC